CACAGATCAGTCTGCTGGACTGCTGGAATCAAAGTGAAGAACAATTAAGACTGTGCAGGTAATAGAACAGCAGAGCTGATGGTTAGCCCCGTTGTCTCCTTGTCCTTGTGAATATGCTGTCCTCAAGTATCCAGATTCAGTCAAAACACATTGGGATGGAAGCACATCACTGGTGCTTTCAAGGCATTTTAAAATCTGAATTTAATAGCTTGCTCCAGTCTGCAGTAGGATCCTTATTTTGGCTGATGCTGGGCTGCAAATCTGGTCCCATGAGATTATTTTTTTAGCTGAGCACGCTCCTACCACTCCTCCAGATTCACCCAGTGCTGCTGCAGAGCTGGGTTCTGTTTTGATTGACAGCACGTGCCTGATACGGCAGAAATGTGGAAATACTTCTGTTCTTTGGGTTATTAAATTTTATTTATATATTTATACATGTATTTATACATGTACAGTGTAAGTTGGCTTCAAGAGTTGCTCACTCTTGCAGTAGTTGCCAAGGCTGGCCTTGCAGTGCTGCAATTCTTCTCTGGAAGTTTTGGGAAGCCAACTTTTAAAGCCCAAATAAAAGCCTACCTTAGGCTAATCTAGTTTATATGCATTTTTAAATATGTACAAATATTGTAAACCAAATAAGGTTTATATGTACCCAAGATCAGCCACTAAGTACTTCAAATAGAAAGCCTTGTAGGTTCCCAAATATTTACAGAGCCTGACCTGAGTAAGGAATTAGATACCCCACTCAGCCCTGCCAAATTAATTAATGGTCTTTTTCACAAATTTAGGTAGATGTCTAATCTAGTGAAACCCTAAGAACACCCAGGGCCTGGAGAGTGGCAGGCAAAAGCATCATGGAATGCTTGTTAGAAATTACCATTGCTTTGTTGAGATAGCCAGCAACATCCCACTGACCTGCAGGGGTAAAGAACAAAGATTTAATAGAAAAAAAAAAAACCCTAAACTCTATCAAAACCAGACCTTTAAAAGGAAAAGGTGGTGATGGTGTTTATTTTGGTGCAGAGGTGAAGGCTGGGCTGGGAAGAGAAGAGTGGCCTGGGTGGGTCACTGCACAAATGCCTCTTGCCTTCCGCTCCTTCCACTTTTTTGATGAGTGGCCAATGAAAGCTTATCCCCTTTTTAAATTATTTTTTTCCCCCCATTAAATCTGCACAAGTGTTAACTTTTCAAAGACTCTGAGATTCAAAGTGCTGTACCCAACACAGAGCCCTTTTTTCTCCCGCCTTTGATTTTTATGCACATTTCAAGCTGGTCAGAGAGTACACCGGAGTTTTGTTTAGGCTTGGTGCTGGGGTTTTGGTTTTCAAGCTGCCAGCCTTCCCAGGATTATTGCCCATTAACTGCCTCTTAATAAAGGTACTGACCAAAGAAAGGAATATTTTTTCCTTGGTGCTAGATTTCCAAACTCGATTGGCTTTGTTAAATGGAAAGACAAATAACTTCAAGCCCTGCTCTGAAATACCTTAGCACAGGACACCAGCAGTTAGAGGTCACCAAGTCACTTGGACTTCCTCCCAACAAAAGCAACATCATTTTTCAGTGTCCAGCCCCACAGCATCCCGCAGTGCCTCACACAATTCTGTAGTGTCCACACCTGCTCTGTGCTGCTCGGAGCGGGGCTGAGCCCCTTTGGATGGGGCAAGATCAGTCCCCGAGAGAATTCGATTGTGCTCATGGTTTGGAGCTGTGTTTGATCTCCTACAGCATAGCTGGATAAAAGCTTGTGGTTGGGATTTCCTTGTTCCCTTGTTATTAAAGCAAAACATCCCTGTTGTACAAGGAAAAGAAACTTTTCTTCACCTTGTGAAGGATGTTGCAGGTCAGAAGGTAATTTCAGTGATGTTTCCCTGCCTTTATTGCATGGGAAGAAGCAAATCCCTTTGTTTTATGCTTTAGTTTCCTGTGAGATGGGGATAGCAGCCCTTCTCTGGTTGCACAGGTCCCTTTGGATGTGCCAGTGTTGTGTCCATGCTCTAGGACATGGTCCAAAGGCTTCTGTGTCATTTCTCAGTGTGGAGATACCAGTATTAAGGAGGATGTGAGGCCCTTCTGCAGCGCTCCTAGAGATATTTTGCAGTCATTCTGTGCATGTAGGTGACTTGTACCCACAGACAGAATGACCAGATAGTACCATTTTTGGAGAGAAGTGAACATCCCCAAAATCAGTGTCATTTTTTTGTCTGTCCCGTACATCTGTCATTCACTTCAGTTCCTGAAATGAACCTCTTGTATCCTCAACAGTTTAGTACCGTGTGTAGGGATGGGAAGGGGTGGAGGTTGGAGACTTAACACCTTTATGGGGTTCAGCTGTTGAATCTGTAGATCCAAACCACTGGAGCCAGGGATGCACACTCTGAATTCCCTGTTAAAATGCTGACTCAGAGAGGCAGACTGGGGCAGGAGAGGTGATGAGGCCAGATGTTCCATCCTCACAGTACAGCCCTACTCTGCTTGCCTTCCATTTCCAAGGTGTGTGGGCTCTAAGCCCCACTTCTGGATCCTTTTGCCTCGGGCAGATCTAGTGTGAATAATGTCTCTGTGGTGTTTTGTTTGAGGGATCCCAAAGGCATCTCTCTCTGCATTTAATTTTCTGTCTTATTCCAGACTTCCCTCTGTAGTGTTTTTTCTGCAAAGCCCATGCTCTGGCAGCCTTTTGCCACCACTACAGTTTTCTCCGTGCTGGAACCCCCTTGCAAAAAAAAAAAATGTGGGTGGTGACCTAGTCTTTCAGACAACCCATCCTCCAAGAAATAACCTTGTGGAAGAAGAGCCATCTTAAACACAATTTATTGTTTTCCATGGACTGGGGTCTTCCATTCCTTGGGTGAAAGAGCAGCCTCTCACCCAACTCTCAAAATCTAGGGCATGTTATGTCTTCTAAGTAATATTCATTCAGTTATAGGGAGTGTGTTTATGTTTCTCATGTTAAAAAAGGGGAAGGGAAAAAAAAAAAAAGAAAGGGAATCTGAGGTTAGTGTTTTGCTGGAAAAATATCAAGACTTGATTGGCAATATCCCACTAAACCACAAGTTTGTAGGAGAGAAAACAAACCCATTGGATTTTCCAAACTATGCCTATGTACTTTATGGAAATGTGTCCCATATAGGTCACTTATGCTCTTATTATAGCTGTGGCAAGTGCATATATAATTGAAGCACAGAAATACTACCCCATGCTGCTCAATGAATGAAGGAGAAACAAATCTTTATTATTCCTGGGTTCACAGAATATATAGGAACACTATTGTCTCTTTTTTATTATTATTATTATTTTTTTAGTTGGGTTTTTATTTTAGGGCCGGTTTTAGCTTTCAGATGTGTTTTATTGTCTGTGGGAACATGTGTTTTACAGACCTGTCATGTGAAAGCCATTAACAAGAGGAACTGGAGGAATAACAATGAGCCACGTAACCGTGGTGTGTCTACTCCCCGAGTTCAACCCCGTGCCGCCGCGCCGGGCGCGCGTGAAACCGGATCGCGCCCAGCGACCTTAGCGCTTCTCCCCCTGCCATCCCTCATCTGGAAACCTAAGGATTTTTTAAGTGGCCCATTAAAACAGGATTGCTGGCATCATAGGCAGGCTTCTGGGGCCAAGCTGGCTGGGCATCAAAATGGTTAAATCGCGGAATGAAGATCAACTGGATTCACAAGAGATGTCCGAATTTATTTACCAAATCTGAGCTGGGCGGGCAGTTCTGAAACTGTTCCTCGCTGGTTCATACATGTGGTGGAAACTGTCCCGCCTTGCCAAGCAGCTCGGGGCCCAGAACTTGCAACTAACCCATTTCCAGAGTTTTTGAGAGGATCTGAAAGGGGTCCTAAGCAGTGGCCTAGACCATTATTGGGTACCTGGAAATTTTACTTCAGTGTGTGTTGTCCCTGCTCAGAGATGATGGAGTTTTTTCTTAAGACTAACAAAACCCTGTAGTAATCCTGGCTTAGGCAAACCCATTAACATATAGGAAAAGGAGCCAAAGTGGATTGCGCAAAGTGAAATCCAGAGAGTGGTTCATGTGGAGAACAAGGGGAGCATTATTTTGATGACACTTCTGGACAAACATGGATGGTGTCCTTGCTAATCACATCTAGGAGATGATGTTCGCTGCAAATGTACTGTGGACAGCTTTGGGTCAGACCCAAGAGCGCTTCATTTTTTATTTATTATTTTTCTTCATTCTAGAAGGAAAAACCCTCTGATGTCTTTGACTGCTAGCTGTGTAAACAAACCCACAGATACTTAAGCAAGTTAGTGGTCGACAAGTATTCCCTAATGCCTTCGGTAGGATCTGGGTGTGAGACCTGTTGTCTTGGCCCAAGGACAGCTGGAACCACTGTGCATTTGTTTTTCCCCTTACCTGGGTTTCGCTCTGCAGGTGGGAGGAGGGTTTCCTGTACCTTGTGGCTTGTGATTTACTCTGAACATGGGTTTCAGGGAAATTGGGGCTTGGTTTTGTGGGGATGTAGTGCTCCTCTCGATGATGGGCTTAACAGCAAAGATGGAAACTGAGGCAAAGGGAAGGAGGGTGCCCTGCCCAAGGTGACACTGTGGCTGAGAAACACCCTTCTAGGTGTTTCTAGGTTTGAGGCAGTGCTATATTTGTCTGAAAAACTTCAAAACCCACGGAGTTAGGGACATGTCACAATTTCTGGGTGTCCCTTCCGTACTGTGTGTCCTGACCCATGTTCTTGAGCAGATCTGCTCCCTGCCTGGGGCAGAGATCCAGCCAAGCTGTACAGACACAGGAATCCTGCACAGAGGGTTTACAGACAGTATTTAAAACCCAGACTTCACGTGGCCTTATTGTGACTGAAGGTGAACAGGCTCTGATGGGAGTTCATTGGCTTTTGTGGATGCTCTGGATGGGTGTCCCCTGGCTGCTCAAAGCACATGGTTGGTGCATTAGTAGGTGTGAACACCGGCAGAAAACTGTCAATACACCCCGAAAATGCAAAGAGGAGTGAGGCTTCAAAGGCAGGGAAGTGATGGGGATGGAGAGTAGCTGGGCTGGCCAGGTAGGAGAGAAGCCCTGCGGATACTCGATCCTGCCGTGTTTGTTTGCACAGCTCTGGGCTGCTCTGCCCGGTGCGCTCGGAAGAGCATCGGGCCCTCCCCGGAGAAAAGTGCCAGATTGGTTTTCATGGCCTTTTGCAGAGGGATTGCTCCAGGGGTCTGTTCCTGTAAGTTAATATTTGCAGTGCACAGGGCTTAACTGGAACCAGGCTGCGCAGACATCTGATAACCATAACAGAGGAGATGCTTTTTCCCTGCAAGACCAGCTTGGAAAAACAAATCCCAATGCTATCACTATTTTCCCTTTGGAAAGGTAGCGATATGGAAGGAAAAGCACCAGGAATGGCGATGGGTGGTTTGCAAGAGGTTTTCTAGTTGAATTTTGGCTTGGTGGGGTTTTTTTTTTGCGAGCTGCTTGGTTTTGCCTGTATTGCTGATGGCTTTGGTTGTTGTCTCCCCTTCCTTGTAGCCGGGTTGCCCTTCCTCATCATCGAGACAAGCACAATCCAACCCTACCAGAGGGGCTTCTACTGCGACGACGACAGCATCAGGTACCCGCAGAAGAACGTGGAAACCATCAACGACGCGGTGCTGTGTGCTGCGGGCATCCTCATCGCCATCCTGGCGGTAAGTCCCACCTCCAGAACCTCCTGTGTCCCCCAGGGGTTTTATTGGCACCTCTTTGTCCTGCTAATGCCGATATCTACCCGGTGCACATCTCCTCTGATGATTGTTTGACTTTTGTAAGCCTGGAGTTGCAAACATTTACAAATGAAAGCTTGTAATGAGAGGAATGAGATTGCTCTTGAAGCTTGTAAACAGGCCCAAAGCTGTTTGGGCAAGTCTGTGTGCTTCACAAGAACTTATTCACCCTCCAGTAGGAGTTCAGAGTGGAGGCAAAAACACTTGAGTGTCAGTAAAGACTTTGCATGGTTTGTCCCTATTCAAATAACTCGTGGTATTTGCCTATTTTATAAGCTTTAAAAAACAAAGAAAGGATACATCTTTTCAGCTAACCAGTGCCTGAAAAATTTAACAGGTTAGTATTAGGTTTTTAAGAGATGGCATATTACAGCCATTTTTAAAAGACAATTAAAACCTTCCATGGGGAGCGTATTCCCAGAGTCCTCGCTGTAAAATGTAGTTAATGTCCCACCTTCCCAACGCCTCTTCCTTTTCCTTCTGCCAGTTTTTCTAGAGCTAGGATATGATTGCATGGCAAGAGCTTTATTTGTCAGCCAAAAAGCTGAACTCAGCCCATGAGCTGAGCCTCCTGATGCCCACGTGTGCCTGGTCTGGGGCAGGAGAAAAGAGCTGTCTCCTGGTTGTTGCTTAAACACTTCCAGCTAAGATGAAATTCCCCTGTGAAAAGTACCTACATTTTCCTTCTCACCTGCTGCCAGAACAGCTCAGGTGCTTTCCCAGAGGTGCCACCTTCCTCTTGCTCCTTCAGCTGGGAGGGCTGGGGATGGAGAGGTCAGGAGCACTTGTTCCCCTTTCAGCTTTCCTCACAGATGGAATGTCATGGGCAGCAGAGATTTTAGGATGGCACAGTGCCTGCTTTGGTAATACCCCATCCTCAGCCTTGCTGCTTTGTGTGGTGAATGTCTCCATCATTTCCTCATCTCTCCATCATTCCCTGACCACATACACACACTCAGCAAAGCAGGTCCCCAAAATTGCCCTGTCCCTCTGCCCTCTCCCTTCCCAACACAAACCCAAAAGGTGCCAGGGCCCCAATTCTATAAATGCAGCAGAACTTCACCCTGCAGGTGAATGACCCCTGAGTGTGGAAAAGCCATAAAAATGAAATGAAAAAGCCTCTCATTTTCGCATTACTGCCGGAGCTATCGGCACGCCAGCTCCAAGCAGAGTGTGCTTCTGATCCCTAATGAGGCAGTGGCAAATACAGGAGTTGGAACAGAAACTGGAAACATAATCAGCTGCCTGTGTGATCCATCAGCTCTCTACCACGAAATAGCAGGTCAATTGAAAGAGAAAGAAAATCCCCAAAGAATTGGATGTTTCTGCCCTGGTTTCACTGTGCCCACAACAAATGTAACTTAATAAGGTAAATTCAAAAGCTCAGTTATTTGCTGTTGAGTGACACAAATGGCTAACAAGGAACTGAAGGAACAGATTTCTTTGCTATGGCAGTCTGCATGGAAAATTCAAGTCAGCCTGACCTCCTTTTTCAGATGTAACCCAGATACCAGCATTACTGTAGCATAATAGGAATTCCTTCCAAATCCACAAAGCACTGACTCCTCTCCTTTCGCTCACATCTTTTGCCTTTGGAAGGCAGGGCAGTTGGTTACGAGGACTTCCAGGGATGGCTTTTGGGATGGAGCAGCCAAAATTTCACACCCTTACTTTATGTGGTGTCACAGCCAGTCTAGCCTGGGGTAAAAAGGTCCAGGTCATGTTTTAAGTGGCTTGAGGACACCCAGAGAGTTTGCTAAGTAAACGGCAGAGGCGAGACCTTGGCTTCCATCAGGATGGGAGAGGATATGCATTTGGTTTGAATACCTGTCTATTTACTGGCTTCAGTCAAATTTCCATGCAGATGACACTGGAGAGGCTCATGCCCCTGGGCTATGCACTCTCACCTCTCTCCTGGCTGCCCTGCTTGATGTGATGTTGGTGGTCCCTTGGATGGCCAGGGGAAGGTGACACTCCTCTTCCTGAGCCTTGTAGGGCTACCACTGCTGTGGCACCGTGTCCCCACACCTGACAGGTCTTGGAGGGCTATGAAAAATTCCTAATAAAATTAATTTGCTAGGTGATCTAAGTTACACACCTGGATTAGCTGGCTGGTTTACAGCTGAAGGTGACACGCTGCAATGTGATTAGCACAGAGAATGTTGTACCAAAAGCAAGTGGCTAGAAAAGCTCTAATGGCAGGCTAATGGATTGCTGGTGATACCTTATAATAACAGTAAAATGGATTTGACAACTGAAAGTCTGCAGAAAGCATTCACAGACAGAAAAGTTTGATGTTGGCTTCTCTCTACTGACCGACTTTTTAAAATATGTGTGCCAGGGAATTGTGCCCATCACCTGGGAATGGCAGATGTCCCGTGTGGATGGCTCACCAGGAGTGCAAGGCAGGAGAAGATCTTGATATCTTTAAAACTTGTTTTCTTTTCAGGGTGCCCTTCCAGTCTGTGCACATCTGTGCTGCATTAGTTTTTCACCATCCTGCTTTATCTGGGACAGCACTGCCAAAAAACCAAGTTTTACCCAATTTTTATCTTCTCATTAAGTTGATCCACAGCTTTCACTAACTGGGGAGGGTTCCTGGGTACCCAGCAGCATTTCATTGAGGGAATGAAGGCTCCAGTTTACAATCTGCTACATGTGTGCAATTACCCAGACCACCAACAGTGAGAGAAAAATATTAATTCCCCAGACTTTTGTTGGTCCCTGTTTAAAATGGTCACATGCCTTTCCCCAGGCCAAGAGCCTCAGGTTTGCATGGATCTTTTTGTGAGTTTGCAGTAATGGCACATCTCCCAGTATCAGATATCATCCTTAATTTGTCTGGTCTTCCTTTTGTGAAAGCCACGAGAGCCTCAGAGCTCCCTTTCCTGTGAATTTGGGCTTTTGGGAGGGGACCTGCCCTTGTGCAGGAGCCTCCGTGTCCATCCAGGACAACCTCCCTCTGCAGGCCTCACGCCTGTGGGTTTCCTGGCTGGCAGCTTGTGCTGGAAAGAGGTTCAAAATGGAGATAAACCGTGGTCTTTGGAGACTGTGAGGATTGAAATGATGCAGCTCCCTAAACAAGCCTTGGTCACTACCAGATTTCCAAGAGGAAATCTCAGCTGTGACGTGCAAACCCCAAATGGTGGTGCAGCCACTCAAAGAACTTCTGTGCATGGTAGCTGCTCTAGCTTGGTATTTATTCTCTGTTATTACAGTTGTATCTCTCTTTGATAAAGCCTGCTTAGCTGCAATTTCAGCTGCCTTAGGTCAACCTTTGTTTTTTCAAGCCCTGGTACGAGTGAGTTCAAACAATGATACAGCTTCACTCTTCTTAGCCTAATTGCCATGCTTTTCCAGTTTATTAGTTTCCAAAGGTTGTGCCAAGCTTTTAAAAAAGGTAGGCAGGGGAGCCTCGTCTCCTGCTTATGGCTGGCAGGCTGCCACACCAGGAGGAATATTGCTGGCTGCTCCAGAAAGGGATTAACATGAAGGCATTTTTCCTGACATATCAAAGTCCTCGTGACTACAGAGAGGCAGGGACAAGGGGGCATCCAAAAAAATAAAAACCACAACAAAAAAACCTCCCAAAACCTCTGCCTCAATTTATTACTCAGGTATAAAAAACGTTTGGAGTAATGAATGAAATCCTAAAGCTGTAAATCTGGAGCTTAAAATTTAGATGTGTAGCGTGATGGAGAACAATTTAAACCTTTGGCTCTTTGGGAGAGGTGAGACTTTTGGGCTTCATTTCACAGCCTGATTTTCATTAACCTGCCTTTTAAGAGTCATGAGTGTGGGAAGTTGGATCCTCTGCTCCCTGACAGTGATTTATGGTGATACTGTCAAACCTCAGCACCCCTGACACAAGAAAAACACAATCTGCTGCCATGTGATGATGGCAAGACCCCTTGAAATGCCCCAAAATAGCTGGACCTTTTGGAGGCCTTGAGGGGTCTGAATTGGGTCTGCTGGCAGCAAGTTTTGGGCCAGAATCTGAAAAATTTGGGGCTTTCTGTTTCTTCCATTGTTGTGTAAATGATTTTGAGGGAGGAAGATAAGCAGGCTGTGGGTTTCTTTTCCTCCAAAATCAGTCTGATAAGAGGGGTAGTGTGTCTGGCCTCTCCTTCCCAGCACACACCAATTCTTTATGTCAATTTTCTTTTCCCACTATGCCAGGGTGTTATTTCACTTTTGTAGAGATAGGCCAACGTGCTAACCCAAAAAATCTACCCTTTTTTGTTTTGTTTATTGGACTTCTCCATAAACATCCCGAGCACTGGGAGGAAGGAGGGGGAGGATGGACAGACACTGGGCCATGTCAGGAGCAGATTCCTGCTTTGGGATCCCGCAGCCCTGAGTTCACACCCACCCCCTGCTTTTGCTCAGCCATTTCCCCGCTCCCTGACCTCTCTGTTGTGCTTCCCTCGCAGATCATAACGGGAGAGCTCTACCGCATCCACTACCTGAAGGAGAAATCCCGCTCCTTCATCCAGAACCCCTACGTGGCAGCTCTCTACAAGCAAGTGGGCTGCTTTGTTTTCGGCTGCGCCATCAGCCAGTCCTTCACAGACATTGCCAAAGTGTCCGTCGGGCGCTTGCGGCCGCATTTCCTGGCGGTTTGTGACTTGGACTTCTCCACCATCAACTGCGCCAAGGGAGTTTACATCCAGAACTACACCTGCAGGGGAAATGACAGCAGGGTGCAGGAAGCCAGGTGAGCCCAAAGCCAAGGGCTGCTGCCACTAAATGTGCCTCGGGTTTCTCTGTCAGCAGTAGAGGGTTTGAATCTGAAACTGAGACTGGGGTTAGCTTGGATATTAGGGTGAAATTCTTCCCTGTGAAGGTGGGGAGGCACTGGAATAGATTTTCCAGAGAAGCTGTGGATGCCCCACCCCTGGAAGTGTTCAAGTCTATCTTAGATGGGGATCTAAACAACCTGGTCTAGTGAAAGCTGTCCCTACCCATAGCAGGAGGGTGGAATGAGTTGGTCTTTGATGTCCCTTGCAGCACAAACCATTCTAGAATTCTATGAAATGCTGCTTTTTCTGCAAAGGCCCAAAAAATCCGTTTTCCAGTGAGCAGCAGTTTCCCTTGGGAAGTGTGGCACTCAGCTGAATAATATTTCTTTTCCTTTCTCTTTCCTCCTACACTATTGTTTCCCTGAGCTGCCGCTCTGTGTGGGAATTCACCCCCAGAGCTGAGCTCATGGTGAGCAGCCCGAGCTGTCCCGTGTGTCACAGCAGAGCTTCTCCTCAGGAAAGGCTCCACCACACAGGCAGGGCTGCCAGTGCCTCCCCTTGGAGTTCTGTCACATCCATCAGACGCCAAATTTTGACTTTTCCAAGGGCACATTCCCCATGCTGCAATCAAGCAGCTGGAGAAGTTGCTCTCTTCTCATTTCTTTCGGGTTTCCCGGTTATTTGAGGCGAGATGATGAGTTATTGGGCTATCCTGGAAATAACTGCTGTCCCATGAGTAGGCCAGGAAGGGACAAACAATGCGAGCATCCTGTCCATCCGTTCGCTTTCTGCCTCACCAGCAAGCAGGGCGGATAACAGGGGTTTTATAACCCAAAGAACTGGGGGTTGAGAGTCCCTGTGCTCTGGCAGCCTCAGATGCCACAGGCAGCTCACTGTATTAAGGGAGAATTATAATATTGAGGATTATACTGGCTGCTTCTGAGCACCTGCTTTGTTTTGCAGGAAATCCTTCTTCTCTGGGCACGCGTCCTTCTCCCTATACACCATGCTGTACTTGGTGGTAAGTGACCTCCCTGAGCTGCTTGATTCCCTGTCCCCCTGTCCCACATTCCGTAGAATAATGGGAGGATGAGTGTTGGACATGGAAAGTTGGTTGAATTAAAAAAAAGTCTGAGCTGTTGGTGGGAAGATCCACCCTCAGCTGTGGTGTTATTCAGGATAGAGACTCCTGGGGTGGTAGCTGAGCTGTGTGTGCAGCTTTGGGATGTGGCCAAGGTGGCAGCTAAATCCAAATCCTGCTAAATTTGTGAACGACCTGTGCAATTCTGTTGGCCCCACGTTGTGGTTTCCACTGTGGAGAGATTGGGGCGAGCCAAAGCCTTTCATGGACGGAGGGGGAGGATGCGCTGCCGTGTCAGGAGGTGATGCCTGGTTCCGAAATGTGCCAGCGGAGCAGGTGGAGCAGCCTCTGCCTGCCTGGTTCCGGAGGGGAGAGCTGGGACTTGTTTTCCTTTGTCAGTGAGAAATGGCTCTGCCCTTCCTGCTCTGGGGCTGGGGCCGGGGTGGCTGCCAAGGTGCTTCCTGCCAGGACTGCGGGAGGCAGCACTGCCCACAGGGGGCTGGACACACACACACGCCCTTCTGAGGGGGTTCACAGGGATTTCTGTCTGGTTCTCCTTTTTTATAAGTTATTCATTTCATTGAAAAAATCAAGTTTCGTGTTGCTTTTAAGATTTGTGCTCCTCCTCCTCCTCCATCCCTGCTAATCTGGGACTTGCAAGCAGAGGAACAGAGCTGCACTGATAAAAACATGAAGCATGAGCTTTTATCTGTGAGCAGTGCTCCCCCCATCCCTCACCCTCTGGAAAGATAAGTGACCACTGCTCCCTCCTGCCTTTCCAGCCTTGGATCCCCCTCCCTGTGAGCAGCTCCTCTAACTGCATCACTGAGCTTTCCAAGCAGTTGTGGGCTGCATATTAAATTCCTTCTTTGTTTTCCTTCTTATTCTGTTCTTGGAAAACTTTTGAATTTCTTCAAAACGTTTTGGCTGCTCCCTCCCAGCTGTATCACAATAAAGAGCTGCCTTGGTGATGCTTCACAGGAGGCTCAGCCCATCGTAAAACTTTGTGAGCTGAGTTTGGAAGCCATCACTCACATTTATTTCTGTCATTTATTTCTGGGAAGGTCTGTGGGCACTCAGATAAGTCAGCCCTGAGATATTTTCCAGCCCAGCATCTGGGAACAGCAAGGAGTGCCAGTCCCTGTTAAGATGGTGATGGCTCTTCGACCAGGGCTTGACCTATTTTCTGCAGGTTGCTGGACAAACTTTATTTTTTCATGTGTTTTTCTGAAAACCCAGCACTTTTGGAGCAGGTGAGAAACAAATGGGAATACAGAGCTTGGGGGGCTGATGGCAGAGACCCCAAAACTGCAGAATGCATTCCAGGTTCCCACAGGATGCACAGAAAACCTGCATGGCTCATTTTCCATTTTTGCTTTGCACCAATGCCTGCTGCCTGACGTTGTTTTTAACTTTGCAGCAGGCTTCAGAGGTGGTGTTTAGCTCGTGTGTGATGCTTCAGATGCCTCTGGTCTCTCTTTGCTGCCCTTCCCTGTCCCCACATGGGAACACTTGAGCTGTCAGCACCCACCAGACTTCACCCCACACCCCCTGACCCAGGACAACAGGCTGCTCCATTTACCCCTCTCTATGGAGGGGGAAATCCCTTTAAAATTATTTCATTTTTAATTTTTACCTTGTCCCAAAACTGTGATGTGGCTGGTAGCAGACTCTGTCTGGCCAGCTCTCCAGTTGCCTTGTGCTTCAAGAAGTCAGGAAAAATTACATCAAGTATTTGGTGATAAATTGAAGGAAAAGGCAACTTGAGACAAGACAAGTGAGGCAACAATCTTAAGGCCCTCTTCCACCTAAATGATTCTGTGATTCCAGCTGGTCTAGCACCACCCTGCTCTCCATCACTCCCTGGTCACTGCCAGAGCCTGACAGAGAAATCTCACAGAAAAAGAGAGGAAGGAAATCTGACACATTGGAGAGGCTGATAATATCAAAAAATAATCACAAGAAAAAAGAGATTATAGCAAGCCAGAGGGATTTTATTTGAGGCAAGATAAACCCTGCTGTCTTGCTCACCTCAAGGAATGAGCTGGGGTTTTGAAAGCCTGGTAGGAAGTGTGGCATCCACCATGTCAGTGCCTACAGGAGGTGTGTTTGGTGAATTTAATCAGGGAATCATCTCAATTGAGATAAAGCAGGTGCTCCCCTGTTCCTGGGAAGTGAGGGCAGGTTGCTGCCCACACTTTGGGTACCAGGGGTGTGCCAGGAGCTGCTGCAGAGTGGGGGTATCCGTGGGGCTGAGCGTGTCCTGCAGAGGCCTGGCAGATCAGCCGTGTCCCGAGCGTGTTCCTGATTGAACAATACTTCATATTTTAAGGATAAGTCACTTCCCCTCTTTCCTGGCGTTCCCTGGCTTCACTCTCGGAGCCCATTCTGAATTAAAATGTTTTCGAGTTTGCTTCACCTGGTGGAGAGGGGTGCCAGAAGATTCCAGTCAGTCTATTAAAAGATCCATGGATTCCCACGCATCCCTCAGGGCTTTGCCTGCAGCGTGGGGCTGGATTTGTGCAGATATTTGGTGAACAGTGGATGAGTGACCACTGCTCCCCCATTTCCTGGCACTGCAGCAGAGCCCTGTGCTATCCATGGGCTCCTAGCAAGAAAACACTGAGGGATGCCAAGCCCTGGAGGGCTTTGAGGGGAAAGTCTCAGGGAAAGGCACTTGCAATGCAGTAAAATCCTCTGGGATTTAGTTCTTCAGGGCTAAGTTTCTCGCAGCCTTCTTGTCACCAGGAATACTCAATTAACATCAGGCCTTTGTATAAAAAAATTTAAAAGGGGAAATAACTCTTGGGTAATCCTCTTTGTCCTAATTTTCCTTGCTTTGTTACTCCTTGGCTGAGTGAGCTGTAATATGTATTTATAGCAGGCTGAGGAAAGAGGGGGGTATGGAACAGCTTATTCCATGCAGCCCCCTGGAGCTGACCCACACCTCTTTGTTTTGTTTCTGTGGATGTGGGGGTCTTTGCAGGGAGAAATGGATGCTTTCCACTCCCCTTGAGCATGTGAGACCATAATGCTGATTTATTTGCAGCATGGGAATTGCCTGAAATCACGCGAAGGGTGCAGAAAAGCTAAATTTAAATACCCAAAAAGCTGAATTAATATCCCTCAGCAACGTTGGCCCATTCTGGGTAAAATGCAAGCAAAACTTGTGCATTTAATATGTGTCAGTGGGTGAGGCAGAAGGCTTCAGAATGGGTTGTGGTGTGTTCTGCTGATGTAAATGGAAAATGTGAATGGTGCTGGGTTGATGTGTCAGGGGGAGTGTGAGGCTTCTCCCTGGAGCTCCGTGCTGAGGGGTGGGAAAGGTGCCCTGGTACAGCTGAGCAGTGATGTGCCTTTGTGGAGGAACCTCTGTGGTGGTTGTGGACTTGGAGTTGAGTTTAGGGGTGACCTAAAGAAGAGAATAAAATGGAATTGCATTGGAGGCCAAGGCTGAGCTGTGAACTGAGCTGCTGAGCTGATGGGCATATTTTTGATGGGGTGAGAGGGGGCTGTGCACTCAGCAAAGGCAGGGAAGAGGCAAACAGCACATGCTGAGAGGTCTTTGCCCATCTCCTTTCCTTCCCTTCTGCCCAGCTTGGTGCTAAAACCCAAATTCTGCATTCCCCAGCCCCCAGCTGGCTTTGTCCAGCCAGGGCTGGGCATTACACTGGGAAGAGTTTGGGCTGGAGAGGTTTTGTCCCTGTGGCACTTTGGGTCCCACTCTGCTTGCAGATGGGGCTGCAGAAGGAGGTCACTTGGGGTCAGCCAGCCAGGAGCAAGCCCCAGCTGTTTCCCAGAAGGAAGCTTTAGGTATGACCAAGGGCTGCAGTTGAAGGGGACGGGATTTCTGGAGAGCAGAAAGCCCAGGGGGGCTGGAGGTGATGCTCTGAGCTCCTGCTGGGACTGCTCAGAGGCTGTGTGTGGCTGTGGGCTGTCCCCACCAGCACTGTGGAAGTCCCCTGGCACAGGAAGAGCGATGTGACGTCCCTTGAGCCTTTGTGGTAACTCAGCCTCTGCCAGGAGACGGCGGATGGCAGCTCCAAAAAACTCCCACTCTGTGGGATCCCACTTCACCCACCCTTGCTCCTGTTGGTGCTCCTGCTTTTCACTGCCCTGGGATGATCTGTGGTGGAAATAACCCCGGTTGTGGTCTTGCTCTTCCACCCCCTCCCGGGAAGGGCTCCATTCCAGCTCCACATTCCCATCCAAATCTGTCAGTCTGCAGCAGGCAGCATTTCAGATTTGCTCCCAGGAGGAAAAAAATAACAACAACAACAAAAAAATCCAACCAAAAAAACCCAAACAAAACAACAAAAAACCCCAAACCACCTTCATAAGCAGATTTTCAGATAAATTTCTAGGAACTTCCCATTTCTTGGTAATAGCACTAATTCCTGCTTTAGGGAAATTCTGATCCTTTCAGCCTCCAAATTCTACTTTCACTTTTTGACCTTATCAGCTGGGTTTTACTTTCATACTGAGGGCAGGGGCAAAGTCTGGAGCACCCCAAGTCTTACCTTGAAAGTATTTAGGGGATCCTGGTGTTTGAGAGCAGCTGTTGTAACACTGCATGTTCATAAAATACCTGTGGAATATGAGGAGTGCTGTTATCCTCTTTTTTTTTTTTTTTATCCTTATGAATGGGGAATAAAGAGCAATTTTTCCATGGCTTTTATTGTGGCAGTAAAAGAAGCTCAGCTGAGATCCTCACACTGATGCTTCAGTGTCTGAGGGGCACCTGTTCAGGTGGGTTTTTGTCCTCCAAGATAAAGAGGACTTTTTACCCCTTTTACAGAGCTAAAGATTGCACATAAGGGACACAGTTCAGCCTTCAGCCCCAGAAGTGGCTATTTTATTGTGCCTTCAAACTTGCTGTTTGCTTTTTATTGCCAATTTTTAACTGATACTTTGCACTCTCACCTCTAGATGACTTTTTTAGTCCAGGCTTGTGGGATGGAAAGATTTGAGATGTCCAGACCATGCAAAAGTGGCAAATGTCAGATTATCCAGCAGCAAGTTTCCTTCCTAAGGGATTTGGGATTTCCTAAGGGAACTGAGGGTGATGCTTTTTTTGGAGCTTTTTTTTTGCTGGCAGCAGCACGCTGTTTTGCACTGTCAAAACTCAGTTGAGGCTCTTGAACATGAAAATAGAGTCATGGACTGGTTTGGGATGGAAGGGAGCAGGTGTGGGGTGTGGGTTCAGCTCTGTGGGGCTGTGGCTCTGTTCCCAGGCTCGGGCTGGTTTGCAGATATTTCCCCCAGAATCACCATGTGCATTAACCAGCACTGAGCTGTTCTGGTGCTGCTCCCTTCCACGTTAATTGGCCAACAATCTGGATAATTTGGAGCATCTGCTCCATTCAGATGATGTGATGTTTCATTTCTTCTGAAGAGCCCAGTGTGTGTTCTTCCCAAAAAGGGGCAGACACAGCGTTTATGCAACAGCCAAACATACTAAATTGGCCAAAATGGATGCTTCCCCCTTATCAGCTTCTCAATTAGTTCTGCTTTCATAGGTCATTTTATGCTTTTATGTTGTCATTAAGTTATTTGTGGTCTCAGGGAGCCCAGTGAGAGCCTCATTCCCTTTCATATCGAGGCAGTGCAAGCTGCTCTGGGTGTGTAAAAGGGATCATAAATGGGGGAGTAAACCCCTTTTCAGCCCTCTGATATAGCAGAGCCCCTTGAAGGACGCTGGGTCTGACCCCAGACCCTTCATTTAGCAGCAGGCAGAGCAGAGCTGCAGGGCTGGAGCTCTGGAGCTGAGCAGCTCTTGCCTCTCATTTTCACACCCTTTGTGCCTCACTGCTCCCCAAGCCTGGAGGCTGCTCCTCCCTTCCCACAGCCTTCCTCCCTGCGCTCATCCACGGCAGGAGCTGCTGTTTTCCTGCCCTCTCTTCCCGCCCAGCTTCCCCGTTCCCACAGGAACCGGCCGTGCCCGCAGCCGGAGCGGAAACAGGCCCGAGATAGTCACGGCAGGCCTACAATGTCTGCTTGACATCACCCCAGCGTCGTCTTTTTGGGGCTGAGCCGGGGCTTTGCTTGTCATTCCCACCCAGGGAGGGAATTCCCAGGCCGTGTAGTGGGGCAGCTGCTCTCTGTTTCCCCGAAAACCCCGCGGCGCGGGCTGGGAAACGCGACGGGAGTGTTGGAGGGTGGCATTGTGAGCATTGTTGGTGCTTGTGGCGGTGTCTGGGAGTTTTCAGGGTGGCTCTGAAGGTTTAGCATGCTGCATTGTCTTTCTTTTCCTCTGAGAGATGGTATGAGTCCTAAATACCCCAGATTTGGGACCTCGTTATGCATTAATAATGCCGGGGAGGGATTTCTGTGCTCGGGTGGTGGTGTGTGGAGGCCGAAGCAGAGATGGGGTGCAGGGGTCCCAACCCCCTGGTCCTGGCTCTCTGAGGAAGGGCTGTGCACATCCACCTCTGTCCTCATCCCCTCCATGGGTTAAATATCCCTCCAGAGGCCACATGGTGCAATGATCATCCTTCCTTTTTGCCGTGGATGCCCCACAGCCGCCCCCTCAGAGCAGTTGCTGCTCTTCGTTTCGGGCAAATTCGCGCAAATTAACGCAACCTTTTTTTTGTTTGTTTGTCTGTTTGTTTCCCTCTCTTGGCACAGTTCTATCTGCAGGCCAGATTCACGTGGAAGGGAGCCCGCCTGCTGCGTCCCCTGCTGCAGTTCACCCTCATCATGATGGCGTTTTACACCGGGCTGTCCCGCGTGTCGGACCACAAGCACCACCCCACCGACGTGCTGGCAGGCTTTGCACAGGGAGCCCTGGTGGCTTACTGCGTGGTGAGTGTGGAAAACAGGGCAGAAACAGTGCTGTGGAAATAGCAGAACCTCTGCAAGCTGCCAGTTCAGCTTGGGGGATCCCCTGTCACACCTGGCATGTGTCAGGAGGCACTGTGCGCCAAAGGCTTGGGGCACTGGAAAGGTCTTCAGTCAGGGGAGGGTATTTGCCTCTCCATCAGAAGCTTTGGCTTCTCCAGCTGTTCTCAGTTAGGCTTCTTAGCAAGGTTTTCCACCAGGAGCTGAGCAGAGTCTGGGGTGCTTGGGATTATGGCTCTTCCACACACACTCCATCCAAAATCTCGTGTTATCCTGATGAGGAGAGGCTGTTTGATGGCTGATGGATTTCCACGGAGCAAAAGGGCTCGTGAGAAAGCAGCCAACAAAAGCTGTGCCCACTTCAGCCGCTGGGCTGGTTCTCGTGCCACTTGCTCTCCAAAGGGTGACCTGATTGCAGAGCCCTGTAACTCGAAGTGACACACAAAGATGTTTTAATTTGGCAGGATGGGGGGCACCAGGTCAGGCAGCTGCCTCAGATAGACACAAAGGGGGCTGTGGTGGTTTCTGTGTCTGTGTGAACTCCTGAAAACAAGATTTTTACAGCTTGCCACTTTTTATGGATTTTTTTTGGTTTTTTTTTAAACTGTTCTAAAAGTTAATCAGCCTCGGGAACAAGGAGTTAAGTTCAGCAATATTACATTTTGCCGGGAGAGAAAATAGGTTATTTATGTACTTCCCACCCGTTGATAATATTCCAAAGCCAAAACAAAAATGTCATTGTTGGGAAGCTTTTATGGAGTATTATTAACTCTGTGAGCAGTAGCTGTTGGATTTTGCCATTGCCCGGTGCCCATGTCCCACGCAGGGCTGGCAGATCCCGAGGGGGAGGCAGGAGAAGTGTGTCTTTATGCTGGGAAGTGGGATAAGAGCCATGTGGAAGGGGAGTGGGGTGCAGGCAGTCCATCCCTGGATGGTTCCAGAAGGACAATAGCTCTCCGGATGCTTGGGATGGGTGTCCGGATGCTTCCTGGCTGGGACGAGCAGCAGGCCTGGCTGTCCCCTCCCAGCCCTCCGGCAGCTGGAAGCTGTGCTGGGAAGGGGAGGCTGTGGCAGGGCTGGGATTGCTTTCCTGTGTCATAGGAAGCAGCTGCCTGGAGCTGCCTGTGAGCCTGGGGCAGCCTGAGCTGCTCTCCCAGCCTGCTGGTGGAAGGGGTGGTTGTGTCCAAACGCTTTGCAGGAATGGCTCAGTAACCTGGAACATCTCAGGCTTCAGCTTAGCACTCAGGGCAGGGTTTGAACCCAGCCCTTGTCCCATTCCATTGGCCTGCAGAGAACCAGCAGTGTGCTGTTCTGCAGAACCTGCTGGGAGTCTTTGCCTGGTAAGGCCTGGCAGACTTTCCTACGTTTTGGGAGGTGGCAGCAAGGGACAAGAGGAAGAGTGATCCCAAAACACCCCGGAGTTTGCACTGAAGGAGCAGTTTAGCAGCTTTCTGCTGAAATCCCTGTTATGTCCTGGGGGCTCTTGCCCAGCTCTCCTGCACAGACTGCTCTGAAACAGAGGGAGGCACCTGGAAACTCATCACCTCCACCCCTGGGTGCTCCCAGCCACCCTTTCCCCAGCAAAGCCTTCAGGGTCCACCCTGCTGATAGCCAAGGGCTGTAAAAACACCTCAGTTATCAGGCCATAATTTTCAGTAGAAACCAATTGTGGATTTCATCTCCGAAAGGCTGCCCGAGCTTAAACCCAGGTCGTGCTGCAGCAGACACGTTTGTCTTTCAGTGCCTGAAATAACAAGCAGAAGGCATTAATGTCAAGCACTTCCAGCTGATGAAACATTCAGGCTTGGACCCAGGGTGAAATACGACGAGGATTTCTCAAATAGAAATAGTTTCTATGCGCCTTGTAGGCAGCTTGCTGTGCCTTGTGTGGTTTATGTCTCATCTGAGGGAGAGGGAAAAGGGGAGATGTCAGAAGGACATGCTCCCAGTGTTGCTCTGGTTAGCTCAGAGGAGTTGTTTTAACCTCTCTCTGTGTATGATTAAAAATTGCTTCAAGAGGATGAAAAGTAATAGGAATTGTTAGGTGGCAATGTGAGATATTGGCTTAAAATGCTCTCAGTCTTCTCCCATCAAGTTTTCTTTATGGGTGGAGAGCACCTTCTACAGGAAATGGAGCTAATCCAAGTGAAAAACTTAGCACGTTTATTAGTCTTTTTTTGTGTTAAACAGTTCAAGCATTAGGAGGATTTAGCACACTTTTAACCCCCAAAGATCACGTTTCATGATTCCTATAAATGTTTATATAACCTCCAGCCATGTTAAAGTGAAATACAGTTTAAAGAGAAATGAAACCTCTTAAGCAGTCTCTGAATGAAACCCTGAAAAGCAGCACAGTAAAAGTAAAAATATCCAGGATGACACTCTGCCATAACTCATTCCTGTTAAAAATAAGGACCAGACTCAAAGCAATCCCCAGATGCTTCTTGCACTCAGCAACCTCCTCCCATAAACTGATTTGTCATGGCTATCTTGGTGCAGAAGTTGGACACCTTTTTGATTGGATCCAGCTCTCAGAGGTGGACAAATGAGCAAGATGGCACCAGAAATACACCAAACCGGACAAATGGGGGGGTTTATAGCTATTAACAACCCAAAAGAAAGCCAGTGCCAGAGCAGTTCAATGAGGTTTTACACTGGGATGCTGCAGCAAGGGGCCAGACTCCAGCTTGTGATCCTCAGGATCATCAGCTGGATGCTGTTATTTACCCAAACATACAAAAGTGCTGCCATTTGGATGCCCTGTAAACAACTTTATCAGCTCTGTTATACAACAAAACAGCCAGACACCAGCACATGCATCGAGAAAAGAACTGTTTTGTACGCCAGCTCCTCCTCTGCTTTTCCACAAAGCAACACCAGCTCAGCTTCCTTCATCCTTGGCTGCAGTTGTAGGAGTAAATTGCTGCTTACAGCAGCTTTGCTGTCTGTCCAGCTTGAGCCTTATCTGCCGTGCTGATAGGGGCTTGCAAAAGTTGTTTCCAAGGACAACTTGACCTGCTGCACAATGTTCTGGGTAGTTAGAAAATGTGGAGATGCAGGTAGGCCAAACCTTTGCTTTCTCCCTGCATTACCCAGCCTGGAAGTTGTAATCTAATATTATTTCTTTGAGCACCTTGTAATTATTTTTTGCCCCCGATTTATCTGGGTGTTTAAGTGTTGTGTTTGAGTAGTGTGGGAGAAAAAAAAAATGTAGTGCTGATTAGTACAGCCATGTGCTGCTCATCCTGGGATTTCAGCGTGGCTTTAGTCCAGATTATTGGGGTTTAAGGATTTCTGAGATGAACTGTCAAATCTGTGCTGGCAGAGGCAGTGGGTGGCAGGACAGAAGTTTGGGGCTGTGGCGCCAGGTGACAAAATGATGCATCCTTGCCACTTCTTGCTCCATCCAGAGCATCTGTGCTGACTCTTTTCCCTTCTGGCACAGGGCTGAGGTTTGGCAAGGGTGAAAGTGCCCTGGTCCTGGAAGGCTGATAAGCTTCGTGCTGCCGCTGCCAAAGGAGGATGTGGAAGTTTCCTCCCAGCACTTTGTTTCTTATTGTGTTGCTACCTTCCGAAATTGCCAGGCACTGGCTTTTTCACATCCGGGAGAGGGGTTACATCACGGGATATTTAGGAAGAAGGAGTCAGGAATAGCTCCTCCTCTCCTTAGCCTTTGGCTTCCACCAGACCCCAGCTCTGTTCTGGTGCCCTGGTGGGGCGTGAGGAGCATCATTCGCCATTGACTCACTGCTGATAACCTTTAACACAGCTTTGGCTTGAAAGCTTTTAGTTGCTTACCTGCTGTCTGGCTGAATGAGTTGTTTCACACCAACTCCATCCCTGAAACCACTCAGGATGAGTCAGTCCAGCCCTTTGGAGACCTTTGTTATTTTATTAGAGTGCAGGCTGTGGATCTGTTTCCTGGCTTTTCAACCAGTTCAGCAGAGGTCTGGGCGTTGCACTCGGTGATTACGCAGTGAGAAATTAAGTTGCCCTCTCATGGTTTTACAATTTTGCCAGGTCTAAGCCTTTTTCTCTGCTGTACAGAAAGGTGGTAGCAGGTGCTTGGGATTTCACAGCTGTTACAGACAGGCATTCAGAAAGTGCTATTTTTGCAGCTTAAAGATGTCTATATCTATTCTGTAAACCAACTTCTTGAACAAAGCATTGCCCACTGTGGCTAAGCTTGCCTTTTCCACTCATTCCTACAGGTGTTTTACGTCTCAGATCTCTTCAAGCCCAAAACAAAGACTTGCCTGCCTCCACCTCCCATCCGGAAGGAGATCCTTTCACCTGTGGACATCATTGAGAGGAATAACCATCACAACATGGTGTAGAACTTCGAGGAATCAGATGGGCGTTGTACCTTAAACTCTCTTTTTTTTTTTTTTTTTTTTTTTTTTTTTTTGCGGAAAAAAAGTGACTGCTGACAGCAACTACCTGCTGCTCTCAAATCTCATCAGACAGTAGAATGTAGGGAGAGACTTTCTTGCCCAACCAGTAAAGTCTTACTCTGTGGTCTTTTCAACTTACGACATTTGGATGAAAGGGGTGGTGGTGGTCAACTAAGGCAAAGGCGAGAATGAGAAAGGAAAAAATAAACCCCACACAACACAAAAAGCCGAAGAAACAAAGAGAGGTGCCGGAGTTCTGGATGTGCAATTGGTTTGAGTGTTCATGTTGTAGTGAACGCCAAATTGTTCCTAGCTCAATGAACACTAAAGGGTTTTTGGAAAGCTGGCCATCCTAGGTTTTTTTTCTGATTACGAAGATTTCCAATGCCTGCGAGAAAAAAAAAAACCAACTCACGACAAAATTGTATAGCACTATGTATGACAACAGCACTGAGTCAAGATCTGGGGTTGGTTTGTAAGAGTTGCTTTTTTCTCTTTTTGGTCCTAGTTTATTTTTGCCTCCTCTCTTCCATACTGTGACTAAATTTAGAAGAAGCTTGCCCAGTCCAAGATCTCCGAAGGGTCTCTGTTCTCTCTGCTCACACTACACGCCTTTAACGAGCGGCCCCGAGACGCGCAGTGAGGCCGGAGAGCTCCTTCCTCCGTGCAGAGAAGCCACATTTCTTCCTCCCCACCTGCTCCCTGCCGAGGGCTCACCCCACCCGAGCCCCCCTCAATGAAAAGAGCATCCTCCACTTCCCAGCCATCCCCTTTTTTTCCCCCCACAGAAATAAATCCCAGCAGGTTTTTGTGGTGGTTTGCGCCAGGGGAGCGGCGGCTCTGCCGAAAACTCGTTCGCACTACGACCCCGGGGCTGAGTCCTGGGGAAACTTTTATTCTGCAGTTTTGGGACGGGCTGCTGGGCGGCACGTCCTGGCCTGGGTGTCAGTCGGTTTGTGCATCCCCTCCTCTCCTCCTCCTCCTCCTCCTCCTCCTCCTCCTCCTCCCTGGGGCACCCCGGGGTGCGCCATGGCAGTACCAGGTCCTGTGCTCCGCTGGGTCACTCCGGTGGGAAACCAGCTGTGCCTCTTTCGGGTGTGATGATGAATTTTTCTTTTGCCCAGAAGCCACAGGCGCTTGGTTTGCAGCCCTTCCACGAAGCGCATTTGCAAAGGGATCCCGCAGAACACGCAGAACGGCCATTTGCACATCCTTCTCACAGAATCCGTCCTATCATTTCAACTTATAGCAAGCTATGATTTTTTTTTTTTTTATATTATAAATATTATATAAATAATGTATAAAACCTTAAAAATTAACTATGTAAAATATTATTTCTGAAACAATTTTAGATATATCCACTATGACTATAAACTGTGTCCTGACCTGTGTTATTTACATTTTGCTGCTTAAAAAAGCATTGAATTAATTTTTTTATAGTCAACTAAAATATTGTAGTTCTGTGGTAGTAATATTTTAATGAAAATAACTACAATTAGAGACATTTGTATAAAAAAACATATTAAATTGTCTGTATTTTTGTAATGTTCCATTTTGTAAAGAGAAGAATATTCAAAGACTTTTGTAGAATACAAAATTGAAGTTTGTATCTGCGAAATTATTGCTGTATAAATGTGCTTTTTAAATAAAAGCTCATAACACAACTAAACATCCCAGTGCAAGCTGCATTCTGTCTTTGGGTTGCCCTTTCCTTGGCAGAAAAGGAGGGTCCTTGCCCAGTGGGACAGCTGGAAGTGTGATGTGGATGTTGGATGGAATTTTGGGATGTGATGGTACAGGATAAAAAGGACCAGATGCAATTTTTGATGGGAGTGATGAGGAGGTCCCACCAGCTCCTGGCTGGGGGCACTTATGGGTTTGCATTGATCTTTTCTTTTCTATGTCCAGTCTTAAAGCAAATCCCATTTTACTGAAGGCATCCCTTTTTCTTTAACAATCTTATAAGCTTTAAAGAAATATCATTGAAGTAGAATAAGGTCTGAAGGGCCACAGACCAGCTGCTGGTTGTCCTGGACAGCCCCTGCCTAGAAGGGCTCCCAGCTACGCTCTGCACAAACACCTTTCCCATGAAAAGCAGGCATTTGGCAGCTGAACCAAAACCTTGCAGCTTGCTGGGTTACAAATATAAATGGAAGGGGAAAGAAGAAAAAAGAAAAAAAAAAATCTCACAACAACACGTGCTAAGAGAGGCACATGTGCACAGCACGCTGTTATGAGACAGCCTGGATCTTTTTATTGTTATTTTTATTTTTTTATTATTGTTATTTTCCTCCTCCTACAGAGGCAAATGAACTTGTTGGTGGTGACACACGGTCAGAGCCACCTTTCAACCACTCCTTGAGTGAACCACATCAGCGAGATAACACGGCACAGAAATAATATGCAAGAATGCATGACAGGAAGCAAATACCACATCAAACTGCAAAGAAAGAGCAGGTGGAAATTAAGCCAGCAGAACTGAGCTAGCACTTGCTATTATTATCCTAATTAGGAGTAAAATTTTATTACGCGTGGAAAAACTTCGTAAACCCGCACCTGTCCCGAATGCAAAGGGAGTTTTCATGGTGCCACGTGTGATCTGAGCCTGAGTGTTTGGGGCTTGAGTGTGTTGCAGAGGTGAGACTTCAGCTTCGGGGCACTGGCTGTGAGGACAGGCTCTTAGTCCCCAGTTTATCTCCAAAATGCAGTGCCTGGGTCTAAATAACCCCCACGGGAGAAGGAAACACTGCCCCGTCTGCTGTGGAGCCCTCCATGTGCAGAGCCAGCCCCAGTGCAGCTAGGCTGAGAAAAGTGTCTGTTTGCATCTTAAGCCCAGCTACTTGGAAAAAAACAGGAATACAGATGTCTGGGTGAAAGAGGAGGGCTTGGAGAAGGGTCAGAGGGAAGAGGCACAGGAGGCAATAAGAGCCCGGGTAGGTCAGAGGGGCTGGCGAGTCACAGGATCTCCCTCAGGATGTGTGGGTCAGCCTGGAGAGAGGGAGAAAAGGCCGTGGATAAATCTATGGAAGGCAATAGGGTTGAACTCTGTAACTGGGGCTGAGCATCAGCAGTGCCAAGTCCTATTTGTGGCTGAGCCACAGTTGTTTCCTGCTCTGCTTCCTGCCCGCCTCTCCTGTGCTGTCCCATCCCATCCCATCCCATCCCATCCCCATCC